GCCAATGCCACTAGACACAGTGCTCGCGAGCTCTAGGGGCGCTGTTACTTGCCCGCTACTTGACATACCTGATCAAAGAGAAGGTTAAGGTCGTGTTGGTAGAAATGGAAACCCCCCACCAAATGATAGAAGCAGGGAGAAGCAGATGTTCGTGAGTGTAAAAAAGGTGCTCATGGAAAAGAGGCTCTAGCGGAATACACCTAAACAAGTGATAGGGAAACTTCTCGGAGAGCAATTTGTGTCAGGAATTTAAAGGAGTCAGGTTTCTTTGAGAACATGAGTGGCAGAAAACGAGCAGTCGATGTAATTTGGACAGGGAACTGTGAAGGATGGGGAACTCGGAGTCAGGCGGAAACTAGAAAGACTGAGGGCAGGGAGATCGCTAAGCGCGAGAGGTCGTCTGACTGGCGAGGTCGTCTGACTGGCGAGGTCGTCTGACTGGAGAGGTCAGGAAAACGGACAAGCCTAGCTAACAAGAATAATCAAGGTCAGGAGCGCGGAGTAAATGAACCCAGAATTAAGGGAGAGGAAACTGTGGGAGCAACATGCCAGAATAAAAGAGTGGAAAGTAGGTTGCACCATTGACGGCACTGCGGGTGCCGAGGCAGAGGCCAGCTAGCGAGTGCCCGTGGGAGGGTGACGGAAGCGGGAGCGAGGGGAGACGGCGAGAGGGGGGCGCGGTGCGTGAGAGCGCGCGCGGGTGTCGCGTGGCGGCGTCCTCGACAGCTGCTCCACCCCTCCCCCGCCAGCCGCCCTCATATGTCTTAGTTCGCAGTCTGCCCCCAGCGAGCGCTTAAACGTCCCCGCCAAGTCGCCACGCGCCCGTCCTCGTCCCCGCCCCCCGCCGCACCGCACAAGTATAGAATTTAAATGATTTATAGGTTTTTAACCTACTAATGCCCCCGGGGTCGCCCGATCCCTATATCACCTGCCCCGAATATTACGCAAATACAGGATGATTTATTATTCGGAAACTTTGAAATACGCGATGCGTAGGAGAGGAAACCTGATCCCTATCTGTGAGCACTTCTTCTATCGCTAAATAAACACTTGGAAACGCCGGATGGAGGTTTATAGTTGCTAGTCTGTAGGACAGCTTTCGAAATTTGAAAGAGCACTATGCTTCTGTCGCATTTCACGATTCGTAATTGATTTAATGCTCTTCATCAATCAACTTCGTTTAAATTTTAGTCTATACCTATCTTCAAATTGTTAACCTTCGATGTAAGAAATTTTTAATATATTAGAATTATTCCCTCTCAGTT